ACGTATGGAGGGCCTATCAGTGCCAGGATCCAAGCCAGGCTCTGAAGAGTCCAGTCCAAAGAGACACTCACAGGCTGGCACTGTTCATTAAGGGAATCACAGAGACGGATCTCACAGTGCAGGAACACTAGGTCATAATGTCCGGCAAACATGAACATCTGAACTGAGAACCGGCTTTCCGAGGACCTCCCATTCTCCTCCACGTGGATAGTTGAATCATATTGATTCGGGCAGCTGGGGGGTGGGGGTGACAGGGGCAAGGGTGTCATTTCTAAAACCAGCAGCAGAGAAAAATCAAAGAGCCCTCCAGGTTCCCTCCGTTATGACGACACGGACTTTTATCTATTAATATTCCCCCATGTTTTCTCCAAGATGTTATCCACAAGCTTACATGATTTAGATTATTTGGGGCACAGTCTCTGGAGTGAAACAGACTGGTTTTAAGTTTCAGCCCTACCCACTTTCTAGCTAAGCCAGCACAGGCAAGTTAATTATCCCTACTGAACCTCAGTTTTCTTATCTGTAAAGTGGAGACAGTAATATCCACTTCATACGGATGATGTGAGCCTTTAATGAGATAACCCACATGTACTGCTCAGCACAGTGCTTGACACAGAGCTAAACTCAGTGATAAATATTAGCTACTATTATTATTATGGTTTGAATCATGATCCATAGAGATGCATTTTCCTTTTTTCTTGTCAGTTACCAGCATTCAATAATATTTCATCTCATAACGTTTGTTAAATCATTAAAATATTGATTAGTATTTACATCTGTATAATAAATAGTTCATCATTACTTAGTCGATCCCCTATTTTTGAACAACGAACCTGTTGCCAAAGTTATCAAGAATACTGAAATGGAAAGGAATTGACATTTCTCTACTCTGCCCACCTATTTGGTATTTTTTAATACTTTAGGCTAAAATTTCAAGAGTGATATTTCTGGGTCAAAGGGTATGGTCATGACGTGTAATACAACTTACACAATGGCATGGCATGGAGAGATGAACATTTTCCTCCAGACCTTATTAGGGCCAAAAGATAATCCCAGAGTCACCCATTACCTGTTTCTGATGATGAAATACTTCACAGGGTCAGCCTTGTCTTCAGTGGGGGTGGCATAGCAGTTCCTCAAGAGCAGGTTGAACCGGGAGGTGTCCCCTCTCTCCAAGATGGCGCCCACATAGAGTATGGATTCCACCGACAGCACAGCCTGGGCCCCTTCATAAGGATTCGTATAGTTCCAGTCTTGGAAGAGGGCCATCCTGACAATGAACTCTCCCTCCCCATCCACGCTGACATTCAGGGAACTAAGACAAGGAAAGGCACAAGAGTGGAAACATCAGTTTCTTCCCAGAGAGAACAACATGAATCAAGCCCTGCACTTACATAAGGCACTTATGGAAGCAAAGGCACCTCTTTGATCCCTAAATGAACTATTCAATCATTCATTTAAACAGAGCATTTATTAACTTCTAGGCACTAAACTTGACAGACAGAGGAGTCTGTCTGCAGGATTTCCTGAAGGACAGGTCACACATGTCTCCCTCGCTCGAGGAATAACTGAGTGCCTGGCTCCATTTTCTCACCTGGAGAGTGGGGCTTGCGACCAGGTCTATGGGTTCACAATTCTTAGCAGCAGATCTCTTCCCTCCACCTCGCAAATGTTAACAAGATAAATGGCTTTCATTTTGATTTTTGATAAACCAGGGGCTCCAACATCATGCAGTCTGAAAACCATTAAACTAGAAAATTTCTAATTCTCCTGATCCTGACATTCTGTGAGCCCAGGAGGCAACAAGGGAATGGGAAGGGCACTCTGGATTTCTGGATTTCTGACACCCAGGAAGTCCCCTGGCAAATCTAGGAATGCTAAGGAACACTGATTCAACGGGACCCAATTCCAGGCACAGAGACACAACAAAACAGACAAAAACCCCTGCCCAGATTGATCCTACCCAGATTGCTATTTGGTTCTGTTTCTGGTGGGGATGGGGGCACTGTTTATCCAATCAAATCTAGTCTCTGCTCAAATCCCACATTTGCAAGGAAGTCTTCCTGACCCCTCACCCCACAAATACTGGGTCTGGGAGCCCCATTCCCTGCTCTCAAAGCATCCCATGTTTCTCCTGCAAGCATTCATCTCGCTTATAAATATTAACTTAATTAGTTGTTTAATGCCTTTCTTCCTCAAGGTGAGTGAGCTTGTCCTGTGCTTTTGTTCCCTAGCACATTTAATAAGCACTATTTCCTGTTGCTGCATTGCTTCATAATAATAATCTTTAACACCCACAAAACATTCTGTCTGCCTTGTTCATGTGGAACGTCCTTAATATGCGATCAACAAATATTTGTGGAATAAACGAATGAATGGAAGCTCCCAGAGGAGGTCGGTAGCATCATGTGGACATCATAAGCTGCACTTGAAGTGAGTGTGACCAATGTCAGGGCTATAGGTCAAACAGCAAGCGCCATACCTTACGATGGGCTGCAGGGCAGTTTGGAGGCTGACTTTCATGTCCAGCGGGTAGGCACATTGGAAGTTGACGTTGAGGATGATGTCTCTGATGATGAAATCATTGACCAAGGAGATGGTGTTTTTGTAGATGGCATGGGTTTGATTTCTCTTCAGCATAAAAACAAACCACATATATATATGTATATACATGTGTGTAGGTATATCTTGAACTCAGATCTGTCTGATTGCACAGTGGATGTTCTCAACCATGCAGCCACCCTGTCTTCTGCTCTCAAGGAGGTAAAGGGACCTCCTCCTCCAGTGGCACTTTATGGGAAGGGGAATGAGGACCTCAGACCGAAAACTAGAACAACGAATTATTGACCCTGGGGAAGAGTCAGGAACCACCACGCTTGCTCCTCTGTGCGTCCTCATCAGCCCTAATTAAAATAATCTCAATTATAGCTTACATTTATTAAGCTCCAGTGTCAGACCTGTGCTAAACTCCTCACATGGACCAATGTGCATAATCCCACATAACCCTGGAAGCCCAGAGAAGCTAGACGACAAGCCCAGGATCTCACAGCTTCTATGATGGGTCCCATCAACCCGATTCCCACACTCTGGCAGCAGTGGGGTGAATGCCACTTACCTCCAAAATGTTCCCACAGGCACCAGCCTGGACCGGGCTGGTCACAAACACCCAGTCCCCGTCCTCGCTCTGCACATTGCTGCTGCAGTTTCGGTCCCGCAAATAGGCAATGACCTCGTTCCCCAAACCCAGGCCTCCCAGCACACACTTGTCCAGCTTCACCTGGATCTCCTTGGCCCCGCAGTCCAGCTGAGGTTGCAAATCGTGGATATCTGCAAAGCAGAGAGGGGGCAGGTGAGTGGATGGGGCACTCGAAGCTGTGGGCAGAACCCACATTCCTCGCCCTTTGGCAAGGCCACCATGCCCACCAGGTTGTTGGATAGACTAGAAGGTGCCTGGACCCAGATGAAATTCACACCCAGGGTGGCGGTAGGGAAGGTTGGCAGAGCAGTGCTGGTCTGAGATTTTCAAGCATCCTATGCGCAGGCTTGGCTAAGGTTTTCCTGTCTGGTTCCCCTGAGGCATTGGGGTTTTGGGGAAGCAGGATGGTCCTGCATTCCGTACTACAAGGGCTGTGGGGGAAGTATCCAGCCATGTACTATGTTCTCGTTATATTAACAATGGCTGGGTACTTTCCGGACAGCCCTCATAAAATCAAAGCTAGATATATACTCCTTCGTAAAACCAGCACATCTCAACAGGTTCAGAGCCATCATATTCATTCATTCATTCATTCATGAGCATCTGCTATCTGCCAGGCACTGGGGGGATACAACACTTCTCAAAACTGACAAAATCCCCACCCTTACAGAGCTAACGTTCTAACAGAGGACACAGATAGCAAACTAATAGAAACACAATTTCTATTGCGTTCCCAAATGCATCGATTCAACATGCGTTTACCAGCCACCTTTTCCAAGTGCTAGGCACATTCAGTATGGAAATAACTAAGATGTGACTCAGCCAATGAGGATTCCTTGGTCTTGTGTGAACACCAACACACCAGTAGCTTGTTACAATTCAAAATGGTGAAGGAACTGACAGAAGTGTGCTCCAGGTGCAGGGGGAGCCCACAAGAAGGAATATCTGACTCTGTTGGTTAAGTCAGGGAACGGTTCCTGGCCAGAGTTTTGCAAGTGAATAAAGCAATCGAGGACATCCCAGGCCAAGGGAACAGCAGAGGCAAAAGCATGGAGCAGGGAGAGAGGAGATGTTGTATTTGCGGAAGTGCAGAGTTCACAGGATAGGAAGCTAGGATGGGAGAGGGTAGAGGTGTGGGAGAGGGAGAAGGAAGTGGAAGCCGGATCCCAGAATGATTGTGTCTGCACACAGTGGGGGCCCACTGGACAGCCACCGCTCTGCTGGGCGCTGCCGAGGACGTGAGGCAGGCCACCTGCTCCCCAGTCAACTCAGGGTGCCCTTGGAGCCCACCCAGGCACAGGAGGGCAACCTCAAATCCTAACATCTGATTCTGTGATGGAGTTTGAGCCCCAGAAAACAATGCCACCCCTCTGGGGTCTCGGCCACCCAATGAGCAGAGAGAGTCTTCAAGGAGAGCAGGTTGTTTCCCACCCATCATCCCCCACGCTGCTCCTGCTGGGCACACCCAAGCTCCCCCATACACCCTGCAGCTCCAGTTTCCAAATGTGTCATGCTCCTTCTTGTCCCTCTGCCTAGGACACTCTCTCTTCAATAGGGACCTGGGCCGTGCTCGCAGGGAGGCATGCGTGTGCCAAGGGCAAGGTCAAAGGCCCTCATTAGAGTCCAATGATGGAGGGAAATAATCTCAGTGGGAGGCTCATCCAACCCCCAGTCGAGCTCTTCTATGGCATTCCTGCCCAGGGCCATCTGCCTCTGCTTGCTCACCTCCTGGGACGAAAATCTCATCACCTCTCAAACTGGCCCGTTTGAACTGCTCTGATTTAGTTCTCACAATAGCCCTGTATGATGGGTATTTTTATTATCATCTTATCCCCATTTTACAGGTGAGGACATTAAGGCTCAGAGAGAGTGGATGACTTGTTCCAGGAGTCTGCCCATGTTCCCGACCCAAAAACTCTGCAGCTATCTGGACACAGCCCCCACACTTGCAGAGTTCTTGTCTTCAGTGCCACTGTCCATCCTGGGTCAGGCCTGCCCGTGCCACCAGAACCGTTTTCTGAGGCCGTGGCTCAGTGGCCGACGTGGAAATTTGTTCCAACTCTGCTCTCCCATCCTTGCAAACCCACTGGTTTTGCAGCAGGTGGACTGGAGAACCCACGTTCCCCCGACCTCAGGTCTATGCCCCCCCCAACTCCAGTCCACATCTCATCGTAACCCTCTGGAGTCCCCTCCCTCCTGCCCTGCCCACTTGGGCCGGCAGCCACCTGCCCAGAGAGCCACTCACCAGAGCCGTTGAGGTTCTGTCTGCAGAAACATTCCCAGGTGCCGCTGACAGAGAGGCGGCACTCCTCCTCAGGGCGGCAGACCTCCTGGCAGTTGTCCTCCACAGTAGAAGATTCTGGGGGCGTGGGCGTGGAAGAAGAGGATCAGGATGCAGAGCAGGGTGGACTTGAGGCCCAGCATGGTGGTTAAGCCCCTGGAGTGCAAGTTCGAATCCCAGCTCTGCCACACTCCAGCTGTGTGATGCTGGGAGAACTCCTTAACTTCTCTGGGCTCCATTGGGATAACTAGATAGCAGCCACCTCAAGGAGTTGGGAAGAGGGTCATTTAAAGTGCTTAGGATGTCAGCAGAGGCATTGTGACCACTATGTGTTCGCTGTTATTTTTGCCATTTTTTGTTTCCGATAAGAAAACTGTGGCTCAAAGAGGTAAGTTAAACTGCCTACGTAGAATGGAAATCTGAATGAGCCTAATAAACCAGGAGACTATGCCCTCAAATTGGAATTTCTAGAATTTACTTGAGATGTTGGAAGGCCTGGCAACCCCTGGGCCATGTCCCCACTGGGCAATAGCTGGCCCGAGCTGAGTGCAGACTGCTCTGGGTCACTTCTCTTAATCTGCTCCACTCACTTTGCTGAGCCCTGGGGCATCTCGTGGGGCCTCTGCCGCTCACCTGTGCAGTATCTCAGACGGCACTGAGGGGTCCCCTGCAACCGGTACACGTAGTACCCGCCCACGCAGGCCTTCACCAGCACCTCCGTGTTCCAGAGACAGCAGTTGTCACTCCAGTGGGCACAGGCAGTGCGGTTGACGATGCCATCCTCAAGGGCGGGGTGGGTCCCGTTCAGCCACATGGGGGCGTCCGTCTGGCATCGGTACACCGGGACACAGGTTTCCGGCATCTTCACTCCTCCTTCACCCACAAAGCGGTACCAGCCACTCAAGTCACTGTCACACCCCCGGATGTCTTCTGTGTTCTCTATGCTTCGGAAGGGTTCGTCCAGGAGGGTGTAATCCTGGCAGGGGTCAGAACAGCCAGAGGCTCCACAATCCAAGTCCAATCCATAGGAACTGACTTCGGTGGGGTTTCCATAACCTGGGAAAGCGACAGAGTGTGCCTGGATTTACTGAGCAAAGCCACGGTCTACAGGGTTTCTTCCCCGCCACACTCTACTTTGGGTGCACGAAGGGCCCTAATGAGGATAACAGGCACACAGCCCATTAATTAAACATCAAACTTCATCACCTTGCGGTCAGAATGGTCAGTGAAGACTTTGGTATTTTATAGGTATTAAGGACAGTGGAGCCACCACCCTGCACGACACCCTCTCCCCTTTTCAGGGTCACAGAGTGCGTCCCTGTGCGGCCATACACGGCAGCTTTGTTTGACCAATATTTGTTTTTCCCATCCGAAATGTAATGCGAGCTCACTGAAAAAGAACCGCAAACATCATTAAAATGAATCAAGCAGAAATGAAAGTTGTCATAAGGCCATTCGATCTCCAGGAGTAATCATAAAGTTCCTATAATTTATGATGCCTTCAGATTCTTCCAATGCATATGCTCACAATACAGATTTTTTAAATTTAAAAATGAGTTTAATTCTGTACCATGTTTTTTTCCCTCTTGCATTTTTTAATTAATATAGCATAGATATTTTTCTATATCAGTAGTCATAGTCTAACACAAGATTTCTCAACCTCGGCACTCCTGACCTTTTGGCTGTATCATTCTTTATTGTTGGGGGGAGGGGCTGTCCTGGTATTGTGGAATGTTTAAGAGCATCCCTGGGTTCTACCCACTAGGTGCCAGTAGCACCCACCAGAAGTTGTCTCCAGACATTGCGAAATGTCCTCTGGGAGGGTGGGGGCAAAATCACCCCCAGTTGAGACCCATCAATCTGATCTAACAAGACTATTTCTGATCTACTGTGGTGTTTTTTTTTTTTTTTTTTGAGACAGAGTCTCGCTTCTGTTGCCTGGGCTAGAGTGAGTGCCGTGGTGTCAGCCTAGCTCACAGCAACCTCAAACTCCTGGGCTCAAGCGATCCTCCTGCCTCAGCCTCCCGCATAGCTGGGACTACAGGCACCCGCCACCGTGCCTGGCTAATTTTTTCTATATATTTTTAGTTGTCTGATTAATTTCTTTCTATTTTTAGTAGAGATGGGGTCTCGCTCTTGCTCAGGCTGGTCTCGAACTCCTGAGCTCAAACAATCCGCCCGCCTCGGCCTCCCAGAGTGCTAGACTACTGTGGTTTTTTAACGGTTTCAGAGACAGTGACGTATGACGGTGGCAGACATGAAGGAGGAGGACCTTCAGGCCGGGCAGGCTGGGTTTAAATCCAGCTCCACACCTGCGAGCTGTGGTTCCCCAAACTCCATCCATTCCTGTGCCTTGGGGAGTGACATTTGCCACATCTGTGTCTGCCCATCCGCATATTGACCTAAAACATTTCTTTCAATGAGTCTCTTTAAAAATTAGTTTTATCATAAGGAATAATATCTGTGATGACACAGGTATCACGGACAGGTATAGCTTTAAATATGCATGAAAACAAATGTATAGCCATTAAAAACTTTTAAGAGGTTGCCATGTGCCCCCAGAGTCATCCTGGAGTATGTATGCCCCATTTGGGGAAACAAGGTCTTAAAGGATTGTTAGAAGATTAAATGAGATAATATGCGTAAAATGCCAAGCACAGCACTGGGTCAAGCTAGTTCTCTTCTCTAGTTTTGATTTGTTGAGTACTGTGGGTGCCTGGATAAGGAACTAAGTACACACTTGGGGTCACATTCTTATAAGACGCATTAGAGGGGCTTTTCAGAAAAAGAGATTTTCAAGCCTTTCTCGTGCATGTGCTTATTTTAAGAAAAGGAATCTCTGCACTTGTTATTCTTGGATTATTTCCTGCATGCCCTGGATTTTCTCATCAGAGCCCGCGAGTCTGATTCCCCCACCCACGACAGGGCTGACATTTGCACCCTCATCTTGTAGAAACCTTTCTCTTTGGAAGAGACTGGAGAGACCTCCAGGCCTTCCAGGAGAAGGACAAGGCACTTGCCCATACAGGGTGGCCGGGTGATTGATTCCTCATCTTCTCCAAGCTAGGCTCTCTGATCTCCCCAGATGTGGGCAGGGGAAGTGAACTGGCTCCCACCGCCCTCTCAATTCCCCTCTCAGGGGAATTCCGATTTGGCTTCTTGAGAAATTGTGACTTGATTTCTATTCCTCTCATCATGTTCCCCTTGACTTCTAGCTCTGAGTCTCGACTTCAGAACTTCCAGTTCCTCTCGCTGACCTGAACTGCCTGCCCTGCACTTCCCCGCTCTCTCCCCAGGCCTTGGTGGGCATCTGAGAGGCGGGGTGAACAGAGAACTCACCAGGCTGCACAGTGGATGCCAGGGTCAGAACGCAGGTGGCCAAGGCCAGCCACAGGAGGTCAGAGCCCACCATCCTTTCCACAAGGTGAGGCACGCAAGTCACTCCGCGCTGTACACACTCTCCATGCAGCTATGGGAAAGGAAAGTCCCAGATAAGATCAGCGCCCAGGCCCACAGTCTCAAAAACAGAACTGTCGTCTTCCTCCACGAAGAGCTGTATTGTTTCCGAGCAAGTGTGACTCGCAGAAATGGGAAGGGTTAATGGGAGTAGGAGACTTGCCAAGGGGATGAGGTTGACAGCAAGCAAACCAAAGGCAAGCTTAGAGCCAGCTGGTACTACAGAATGTCCCCGAAGGGTCTCAGGATGGTCCCTGCTCAGGTGGAGGTAGAGGCTCTCTGGAGATTGGGTAGAGAGAGGGCTTTAAGTGCCTGTGAACATCTATAGACAAAAGCAATGGCTGCCCTTTCTCAGTTTTATGCTCCAGGTACTGCTAAGACCTCCCCCCCACGAAGTGTCCTCTGTGCATGTAGATTTTCACGAGGGTGGGACCATGTCAGACTGAGCCCCATGCCCCTTGCTCCTAGTGTGGAATCTGGCACACAAGGGGTGCTCAGTAAAGGCTTAAGGGATACATGAAAGAAAGAAGCCTGCCAACACTCCAGTGATATTTACTTTTCTGGGAAACTCCCTGAATGGGAAAATCTTTGGCTGACTTCACAGTTTGTGGAAGATCTTGGTTGAAGATAGAGATCTGTTTCTGGCAGGGATATCATGAAACTATTATGAAAGAGGAGAGACAGGGGGACACCCAGAACCAGGAATTCTTAGAGATGAGATCCCAAGTAGAGAACTATCTCCCTGCTGGGGTGTCTCGGGCAAGGGTGAGGGTGGCATCTGCAGGCCCAGAGCAGCAGCAGGTGGCTGGAAACAGGACCGACTTGGACACAGAGTGATACCTGGAGCCCCCGACAATGACCAGGGTCTAAACTCTTTGCTGGGTTCTGAAAGTTTCCAGAAACAAACAGCCCTAGCAAGTCCGGTGGGTCAAGAGGAGAACCCCCAGGATTCAGAGAAAGCCGGCTGGAACTTGGAGCAGGACTTACCTCGGGTGAGAGAACAGAGCGTTCCTTCTCCTCCGGCCAACCATGGGAATGCAGCCTGCTGTGGGCCGTCTTTTTATTGTGGTTTCCCACCCATGTGGCTCTCCACAATTGGTGCCGAGGTTCCAAACACACACTGGGCTTGTTGGGTGTAGGTGAGATAAGCTATTTACGCAAAGGATGGTGAAAGAAAGCCCCTCCCCCCACAATGTAAACCCTTCCAGCAGTCTCGCCGTCATGCAGACGCGTCCCTATGAACAATGGTCATGTGTGCTGGATGCTGAACACACCGGGCAGCGCTGAGCGCTTTGCCACCGTGACTTCTCACATTTAATCCTCATAATAAATCGATGAAGCTGGTGCCATATTTATTACCAGAAACCAAACACTAATCAAAAGGAAGCTTAATACCCAAAGGGAAGTGGAGAGAAATCAAACAGGCACTTGTTTGCACAATGGATTTTCAATCGTGCCTTGTGTTCCTAGCTGATCACCTTGGAATACGTCTGCTCTGTCTAGAGGCCAGTTAGAGAAAGAGAATAAATAAGGAAGGGGGACATGGGAGTTTCCCATGCTTGCCCCATGGAATCTGCCCAACTTCAGATACTGCACTAACACCGAGCAGTTGGGTAGGGGCCGATCTGGTGATGGTGAATCATGAAGCCGCTAAGGACAGACACGGTCCCTGGACAAAATAAGCATCAGAACAGCCTCTCCTCCAACTCCTTTTGATACGTGGGCTGCCCTGGGAATTGGCAGGAATGGAACTGAAAAGAGGCCGAAGAAGATCTTGGACTTGCACACTCCAGGCTTGGACGTGGCTTTTGTGGCTTGATAGACATCGTAGGCTTAATAACAGAGTCAAAGCGTTTGCAGAACAAATGGCCACGGCCTCTTCTCTGTTACTCTGGGACTCCTTTAAGGAGCCAGTGCTGCTGGGGGCTGGGGGTCTTGGCATTAGTAACACCTTCTAGCAAAACCTCGACCTGGCCAAAAATAAATAAATAAACAAATAAAAAGGTGCTACAAGCCGCCGTCTCTACTCCTAGTGCAGTTGGAGATAAATCTCTGCAATGTGGAACTTACGACAACGGGGCCCACAAAACAGCCCACCGATCCGCTCAGTTTGGCCCTCCCCCATAAACACATAAATATTCGCTTCTGTCTTCCACTCCTCCCCCCCAATCCAACTTCCGATGAGGCGACCATCCTCCTTTTCAAAGTCAGTTCCCCGTCTCTCTTCGGACCCCTTCATTCGAATCTGAACCATGTGGCTATAACGTCCCCGGTAAGGCCATCTCATAGCCAGGGCCACTGGGCATTTTTCCTGCCCTCTTGTGCCTGGATTTGATTCCTCTGGGTGCCCTTGACTCCCCCGTAACAGTATTTTCTTGATTCTCCTGTTCCTATCTGGATATTCCTGCCCTAGTGCTGTAGGATCCTCTTTCCCCAGCTGTCTCTAAGAATGCTGGGAGGTCCCATTTTTTTTGTCACTTCATGTACTCTTCCTGGGAGGTATCAAATTGCCTCATGGTTTAAGGCACCCTCCATAGGCTGGTTAAGTTCCAAATCTGTATTTCCAGCTTTGACTACTGCTCCTCTGAACTTCTGCTCCCCCTACCCTGTTGCCTGTTGGATGTCCCCACTCAGGCTGAGATGCTCGAAGCTCCTCAAACTCAGCAGGTCCAAATCAGAACTCATCAATTCCCCTAAATCTCCCCCTCCTCACCACAGCATCTCCCTTAATCAAAAGCACCAGTGCCCACCTGGTCATCCACGCTAGAAACTCAGCTCCTTTTTTGCTAAGTTCCTTCCTTTCTCCCAAAGCCCTCACTTCTGATAATCATCAAATCTTGCCTTTCAATATTTCAAATATTTCTCTTCATTTTCTTTAAGCCTGAAAAGATGCAAAGGAATCAACTATTTCTTGAATCTATCCTTTCTTCTCCAATCCCACTTCACCAGTCTGAATTCAGGCCACCATCTCTTAGGAGGGTGATTGTCTACCTGCTTTCATTCTTATCCTCTTTGTTCATGTTTTTCCCCTGCAGTAGAAGCCAAAGAACCATCTCTCAGCATTATCCTCCATTCCCAGCACTATATGCTTCCTGTGATCTGACCCACCCTGTTCACAGGTGCAACCTCGCCTACAACTTCCCCACATCACATTCTCTTCTCAGCCAATGTGTGGTCATCTGAACGCTTCCCCACCCCCAAGCCTTGGCATACACTGTTCCCTCAGTCTGGATCATTCTGTGCCCAGCCTCCTTCTACTTGTCACCTCTTCCAGGAAGCCTTTCCTAACTCCACAGGCTGGCTGGTGCTCCTCCTCTCAGCTCCTGAGCCTCCCAGGGCCAACTCAAATCAGATGCACCTGCCAACTTATCTGTCTGCCTCTGAAGGCTGAAAAGATCTTTGTGTACAGAGATCCTGTCTCTGCAGTTCTAACCAGCACCTAGTAAGTACTTATTGAGTAAAGAAACAGACAAAATATGCATGATTTAGGCCCTCTCCAGGGAGAAATTCCTCAAACTTATGGATGTCTGAGTAGCAGTTGACCTTGGTGGAAAGACACAATATCCTGCCGCAGGACCTTTGCACTTGCTATTCTGACTTCCTGTAATGCTCTTCTTCAGATATTCCCCTGGATCACTCCTTCACTTCTCTTCACCTCTGCTTATCAGAGAGACTTTCCCTGATCATCTTATGTAACATAACAGCCCCTTCGCTCTATCCACATTTCCTTGTTTTCATTTCCCCATGCACAGTTCTTGTCACCATTGATCGCATTTCTCATAGCTATCATTTAAATGTATCCCTCTTTTAAATATAAGCTTTCTACCAGCAAAGGCTCTGTTTTGATTATTTGCTTAATTTCCATGGTACCTATAAAAGTGCTTGCCATTGAATTTATGCTGAAAATATCTGTTAAATATATCAACCTGAATAATTGATAGAAAACAAGGAAAAAAAGGAAAAGAAAAGGAACCGAGGGACAGAAGCATTAATTCTGATGATGTGCTTTCTTCTAGCTCTTGTCTGTGGCCCTCGTTTGTATTTTTCTTGGCTCGGGTTTTCCCTTTATGTTGTGTTGTACCCAAGTCAAAGTATAGATGAGCCTGGTCATGGTCAGGCGGGCCCAGCTGACCATGGACTGACCACAGAGGGGGCCGAGATGAGCCGTGGTCCTCCTGCGCGAAGTGCTCATGCAGAGGCAGCGGGCATGCGCTTTCAGCGCGTCCCTGTGTGATAAGAGGCCCCTTAACTTCACACGCACCGCCCCAGCTGCCTCCCCTTGCTGGTACACACGTGCAGTTTTCCCTGGGGTCAGATGGCTCTAATAATGCGGCAGGGCCTTGGCCTTTCCTGGAAATCCTCAGCTGGAGTCCAGGGAAGCAGCTGGCGTCAGGGCAGAGAGTTCTCAGAGGCATCAGCCTCCTTTTGTCCACTTGGCAAAGGAGTCCTGAGGCCCTCAGGATATCTGGGTCTCCTGGGACCAGTGGCCCTGGTTTTTGGCTGGGCCCCCTGCAAAGCGTCCCTAGCGGCGGGGGTGGTGGGTCTGCTCTCCACGGCCGGATTGGAAGGGAGAAGTCCAGGAGGTGCCACGTGCCTGGCATTGCCTTGCTTGTTCTGTTTCACCTCTAAGGACTGTGAGACTCCCAAAGGCAGGGGACTGTGTCTGTCCTGTTCCCCAGTGCTTCCCCAGCACCCAGCACAGTGCCTGGCACACAGGAAGTGCTCTAATAGATGCTTCTGGAAAATTGAATGAACCCTGTGAGGGCATCATTGTCATCCTCATGAACAGAAGCAGCAGCCCCTGTTACACTCTGCATTTCTGAAATGCCCGACTTACTTGGAATTACTCGTTTACGTTCTCTCTCTCTTACAGATGGTAAACTCCAGAGAAGCAGGGATGATGTCTGACCTGTTCTGTATCCCTGGCATCTAGCGCAGTGCCTGGCACATGGCAGATGCTTAGCAAATATTTCTTAAATGAATGAATGGACGGATGTATAGATGGATAACTGAATGAATGCGTAAGGCCCAGAGACACTGTGTGTCTTATCAAAGGTCACAAAGCAGAGCCTGGGATGAACCCAGTCTCTCCGAGCAGACTGTGGACTCCATGAGGATGGGGCCGAGTTTTTTTTTTTTCCGACCATGGGATCCTCAGCACCCCAGACAGTGCCTGCATCCTAGGTGCTCAGTAAATAGTTGTTGAGTGAATGAATGACTTCAAAGACTAAGCTTTTAAAATCATTATTTTGCCACACTCTTTAAAGAGACAGGGACATACAGGCACATCACAAATCCCATTTGGAGAGAAAGCAGCATTTGAAGACAAGGGTTTTTCACAGCGAGGACTGAAGGGGAGAAATAAGAGCAGGCCGACTGAAGCACGAGCGTGCTTGTCTGTGGCCGCAGCGCTGGCCTGCATCACCCCCCTGGCCAGCAGGAAGTGAGATGGTAGCCACAGAGCACAAGGTTTCCTGCCGTCCGTCACTGAAGTGTCACGGTCAAGGTGGCCCCGAGAATCAGAGGCAGCCAGACTTTCAGGAGCTCTGAAAAGAAAACAATTATAGGGCCATTGCTAGCACTGATGCGCTTTTGTGCAAATCAACATCGGATGTCTCCTCTAGACTGACCAGTTAGGACACCCTTTCTGGCTAGTCCATCAGAAAAAAGGAAGCTTCCTCCTTACCTGCCCTGAAAAAGGTGCCCTCCCAGGTAGAACAAATTTGAATAAAGGCAGTCCTTCCTCTGGCACTAGGCTTGATACCCCCTCAATAGAGCACTTTTATGTAGTGTCCAACCTACTCAACCATCCTTAGAGACCCTGGAGGGACAAGCTTCTTAGGAACTCCCTGACTCTCCAGCTCTGAGCCCACCAGTACTGGCTGAAGTAGCTCAGGTCAAAGGCCAGATCAGTGTAACGACCCCCTCGGATCCAGATGCCAGGAGGAGAGAAGGGCAACTGTTGCCAGGATTTGCTTTTCACTTAGATTTTCAGACAATTCAGTAGCCATGAAAATCAAGGACCAACCAAGAACCATAAAAATACCCCCAGTCCCTGACCTTTGTGGTCAGAAGAGCAAAGAAGCAGAGAAGCAGGGTTTCTTGTTTGTCAGTCGTGTTCACCCCAGCCCTGAGCATGGTTCTTGGCACATAGTAGCTCTTAACAAATATTAAGACACCTGTTGAGTGAATCCTGAAAAAGGTGTTAGAGGTAAGCCAAGGAGCAGCAGGAAGTGCCCAAGACGCAGATCTGCA